AAAGTATTGTTAGCATCAACTGTTCCTGCATTTTTTAATCTTCTCTTCTTAATCTTGCTTATTGATTAGTATGGCTTGGGCAGCAGCACCAAAGCCTCCTTCACCCCCTTTGTGGACCCCAGAGTATACCAGACATCTCCCACTGATGAGGATGAAGAGGATGAAGAATCATCAGCTGCAGGTAAGCTAGAAGGCCCAAATGCTACAGAAACATATTTCCTTTTGGTAAAGCCTGATCAAGAACTTCATCATTAATTCAATAGTTAAGCCATTTAATGAGTAGGTCCTGACTTTATTATTTTTGTGGGATTCCTAAAACAAATTTCTCCCTTTTCCTTACTTTTCCCCATCTTTTCTGTTTTGCTTCTGGTAGGAACCCAGAAGTATCCAGGGGCACTAGGAAAAGCTGTTCCTCAACGATCTCCGAACTTACCACATATTTCCCAAAAACAATTTCTGGGTACAGTGCTATTGTGCACGTAATAGACACTAAAATGCGTGTTAAGTTGTGTTGAACTCTACCTGTGTAGTTCCCACCACAAAAAGTCTGGCTGATTTAGAATAGTGTTGCTTTCTGGCCTTCTGCAACTCACTAATCATTAAGGTCAGCTTAGGCCAACTTTTCAACTGATAATGTTCTATTTCAAAGAGGAAGTCTTTCCTGTATCTATTTGCAGGAGGTAGAGATGACCTATATGATCTCGTGAGATTAATATTAATTTTCTAAACCATCCAAGTACTGTCTATAGGTCTGTTTTGCTAATGAATAAAATACTACTGCTATGAATGACTTATACTTTATCCTACTAAAAAGACATAAAATAAGTACAGTTGTAGAGTTTCTGCACCTTTAATACACACTAAACAAAAAGAACTCATAGTGTTTTAATGACCCTTTTCCTTATCTCCCTTAGTTATCTTTTAGGATGCCATTGACTTCTCTGATTCTTTTTCTCAAAGCTCTGTTTACTAGCGAACTCCTTAGGCAAGAACAGGCCAAACTCAATGAAGCAAGGAAGATTTCAGTGGTAAACGTAAACCCAACCAACATTCGGCCTCATAGCGATACACCGGAAATCAGAAAATACAAGAAACGATTCAACTCAGAAATACTTTGTGCAGCTTTGTGGGGTATGTTAGTGCTTTATTTTCATTCATTAATTAACTCAATCAGGAAAAATCATGTGTATCTTAGTGTTAGAGACCTTGGTCTGTTTAACCTCAGAGAGATCAAAAGCAATTTTATATGTAAAAAGGCCTTATATACTAATTCCAAGGCTAACATGAATAGTGATAAGTTAAAGTCAACAACAGAACTAGCCACCACTTAATACACACACACTATGTGTCTAGCACTCACATCTGTCTCTGATCCTTACCATATCCTACAAGGAAAGTAATGGCATTACCTTTGTCTCACAGATACAGAACCAGCCTGCCATATTTTAGTGACTTCCCAAAGCCATATCATCAGCAATAAAGAAGAAAAACACTTGGCAGGAAAAAAAAAACAAATAATGAGGAATTCCTTTTAGTTCAAAACATCACTCCGTGGTTCTCATGAAAAAGATCTCCAGGATTTAGGTGATCTTAGACTCAGATGATACTCTATTAGAGTCCCAGGTCTATATTATTGGGGCAGATCAGATGTAGCCTGTCTGTAGCCATCTAAAATACTAGGCTTGCATTGAGGCACCATAATTGTAAAGAGTAAAAGCATTTGAGATGTCAGAGGGGAAGATCAAGATGATTTCCTGAGATGTGATGGTTCTCCCTCAGGGAGAAGGTATGGAAAATAAAATAGCCACAGTTAATATTGAAAAGGTTAGCATGTGGAGAAAAGAGCAAACATGCCATGTTGTCAGAAGATAAAGTACAAGTAAGATAACTGAGAGTTACCTGTTCATGCATCTCTTGATGTATGTACATTGCAATGGGTAGATTATGGCTATCCAGACAACCCTTTTTCCTAAGATTACTGCACTAGAATTAAGATACTTGAGAAGTTTCACAGTCAGTGTTTCTGTGACTCTTAGACCATTAACACCTTTTCCTTGAACTGGTTTAACATTTCCCTAACAGCACAACCATGAAGGTATGGGATATGAGAGAGTTGAATTTTAGTGTGAGAAGGAAGAAGGTCTTTTCTTCTGATAGAGTATAGAAATGGAAACACTATCACACATTGAATGCACAGGCTAATGTCCTAAGAAATCACTGCATGAATAGGTGTGGAGGGGTGGGGGTGTGAGCCTTGGGAAGGAGAGAAGGGAATATAAACAGTCAAGAAAGAAGTTAGGGACTGGGAAGGTAGCTCAGTGGTAGAGTGTTTGCCTTGCATGCATGAGGCCCTGGGTTCCATTCCTCAACACCACATAAGCAGAAAACGCTGGAGTGGCACTATGGCTCAAGTGATAGAGCTCTAGCCTTGAGCTGAAAAGCTGAGGGAGAGCACCCAGGTCCAGAGTTCAGGCCCCACAACCAACCAAAAAAAAAGAAAGAAGTTAGTTGTCGGGCACAGATGGCTCATACTGCTAGGATTACAGATCCTAGCTTCTCAGGAAAGAGACTGAAATCTGAAGATTTTGGTTTGAAAAAGGCAGCCCAGACAGGAAAGTCCATGAGACTCTTATCTTCAATTAACCAGCAAAAAGCTGGATGTGGAGCTGTGGCTCAAGTGGTAGAGTGCTAACCTTGAGCAAAAAAGCTCAGGGACAGTAACCAAGTACACAGAGGGAGAGAGAGAGGGACAACATAAGGGAAGGAGAGAGAAGGAAGGAAGAAAAGAAGGGATGGAAGAGAAGGAACAGTTTCAGAAAGATAATACTGGCAAATTGTGTTAACTTCACAGCTTTGCCTAAGGCTCCTCTTGGAAAGCACTGTGCTAGACAGTAAATGGCTGCTAACGCTTCATAAGAGAAAACTAATTCCATTAGAGTGACAGTGATTTAATTACTGCATCAGAGTTTCTACTTCTACACTCCCTACCATAGCACTACTCGCCCATTAGTTTGAATTCACAAAAAACAAGTTTATTAGGGCTTGTGGGGGCCCAAATACAAAAGGTTAAAGAAGTATAAAGACTACAAAGAGTACATCTTAATTTAAACCCTAAACTTGCAGGTGTAAACCTTCTGGTGGGAACTGAAAATGGCCTCATGCTTTTGGACCGAAGTGGGCAAGGCAAAGTCTATAACCTGATCAACCGGAGGCGATTTCAGCAGATGGATGTGCTTGAAGGACTAAATGTTCTTGTGACCATATCAGGTATGTTACTATATTGACCCTATTCTCCAGGTATTCAGAGGTAGGAAGGATCATCTTCTTTCTGAGGAAATGTAATCTTTGTCTTTCCTGGCTAATAGTAAATTATAGCTGTATAGCTAGATTTGATCATACACATTTGGAATTTGTGAGGGTGGGGCTCAGGTATTCACAATGTTTATAACATGGCTCTTTATGCAGCCTTAACTACACAGGCAACATGAGGCTTCTAGACTGAACCTTGAAGGAAGTTTAACTTTCCAGCTCTACTTCTATTTTAAGAAAATGTCTTCACTTGCCACTATAATTCTCTCTTTATTGTACCTTTCCAATAAATGAGTATTAATCAGACCCAAGTAAAGGTTAACTAAGTAAATTCTTACATTGTGATTTGAGTTTAATTCTGTGGGGTCTTTTGTTCTGGATAATTGCTTTCTTGATTACTATACTACCAAATCAAAATCGAAAACACACATCTGCCAGTCATCTACCCAAAGTGGAAATGCTACCAGAAAATTCATGTTCAGACTTCATTATATGGTTACTGACACATCCTAATTCTTAAGAGTCTGTTTTCCTCTTATCTCAAGGCACAGATGTGAAAAAGAAAAACTGAAAATAGAAGCAAAAGATCCTTGAATTGCCCTTGGATTCATACCAGTATAGAAAGGAGAAAGCAATGACTCTGCTGTTCCTCCTAGCTATCATGAGCATCACAACATGCTCTAGGCTTCAGTTACAAAAATGAATTATGGCACACCATTATTCCTATAGTTTTAAGTTCTGAATGAACTCTTCTGTTACACCAGTATGCAATGCTTTAAGTAGTTCTCTTCTTCAAGAAGGAAGGTGGCTCAGTGGTAGAGCGCTTGCCTTGCATGCCTGAGGCCCTGGGTTCGATTCCTCAGCACCACATAAGCAAAAAGAAAAAAGCCAGAAGTG